TGCTTTATAACACCTTCAGTAAACTAGACCTATATAGTTCCTGCAACTGTTCTTCGTATGTTTTAGCCTCCAGTCCCCAGACATCTTTGCTGCTCTTCTCTGCATTTTTTCTAGAGTCTCAACATCTTTTTTTGCATTGCGACAACCAAAATCAGATGCAGTATTCCAAGCATAGTCTTACCAAGGCATTATAAAGCAGTACTAACACTTTGTGTGATCTTGATTCTATCTCTGTTAATGCAGTTTAGGAGCACATTGACTTTTTTTGATGGCTGAATACACTGCTGGCTCATATTTAAATTGTTTTCCACCAGGAGTCCTAGATCTCTCTTACATTACTGCTATTGAAACAGGTACCACCTATTCTATACCTGTGCATTTGGGTTTTCTTGCCTAAATGTAGAACCTTGCTTTTTTCACCATTAAATCTCATGTTGTTAGGTAGGGTCCAGTATTCAAGTCTATCATGATCCTTCTAAATCTTGAGTTTAGTTAGCAAAGGCAGCTTCAGGAGGGCGTCAACTATAATCTTCCAGTTTGGGAAAGGCTTTCTGGATGAAATTAAAAAAAGCAACTGGAAATCATTTTTCAGCTGCACAAATAGATAAGACTGGACAATGTTTGAGGAGAGGAGGGTTGTAACTCAGCCTTTTACTTCCTGGATGAGCACAGAAGACTCTCTCATGACATTATGACATCAGCCAAAGGAAGTGAGAAATGTTCCCTTCTCTCCTTCTTAAAAATGCCCATCCCAGCCCTGGTATAAAAAAGTCAGAGCTCATGAGCAAAGAGTGCTATTATTTCTACCAAAGTGAAACCAGCTGCAAAGCAAAACATTGGCCTCTAGTCATCTTTTTCCAATAATGAAATAAAAATATCTATTTTTTATAACTATTTTTTCTGTTTTTTAAATGTGTTTACACGATCATAAAAAAATAAATAAACTATAGTGTTGGAGGAAATGTCCATCTGTGTTCACTTCCAAGTGGGGAAAAAGACACTGGAAACATGGAGGCTGCTTGGAAAGATGGTTTTAATGGTGAACAGGATCACATGGCTTGAGTTCCTGAACAGAAAAGGGGGATCACATGCGTCCAGATGTTGGCTGAAAAAGAAAAGAAGCAGAGATGCTGATAGACCCTGGTTTTATGCCCTCTCTGGCCTTTGATCTTGATCTTGTATTGGTTGTCAGACTCCCATGGGGCCATGCAGGGGCAACTCTTTAGGTTGTGCTTTTGAGTCCAAGTTTGGTTGAGCATTGCTTCTTTCTGGATGCCTTGTGGTGTTTCTGTGGAAGACTAATCCTACCTTTGTTATGTGGAGTAGACTAGCTCAGGCTTGAGGTGGCTGCTATTAAGAGTGAGTCTGCTTTCTGCCTAAAAACATGTTTCTCCATTTCTGATCCAGGAAAATATAATGTTATGCCTTTTTCAATATTTCCTAGGATATTTCATTTTTCTAGGAAAGGGGTGGGTGCTAACTTCCTACAATAGGTTGATAACAGGATCTTGGGAGGCTAGAAAACAAGGAAGTTAGGGAAATTTGCCTTTTGGTCACACCAGTCAATGGAAATCATTTTGTGAATGGACCAGTTTTCATGACAACCCTTTTCCCTTTTGTTTCTTTTAATCCACATGACGTGCTCTTAAAATGTAATATGTGTCCTTTGAACAAACAAATTGGGAATCTCTGTTATATAGTAGTAGGCAAGCTGTTGCTTTGAAGATGTTGTTGAATTACAACAGCTTTCACGATTGGCTTTGCTAGTTTGAACAACATCAGTAGGACAATAAGTTGCCCATCCTTGTCTAATAGTATCTACACACAGGAGTAATAATCTTTAAACCATTGATCAAGCTGGTGTGTAAGGCAAGGGAGACCTCTAGAGGCTGCCTATGTACAAAAATTATTAAAAACAACGAATGCCAAACTTTCTTTTGTGTTGGAACAGTCACTTTAAAATTATGCATCAAGCATCTCTCAAATAGATTTTTTTTTAATTGAACAAAAACACAAAAAAAGAATCATCCTTCATTACATCTTGTAGAAAGCGTGTCGATTGGTTACA